TTACATACTAATAAATTTATTTCGGTAATCAAGCTAATTAATCATCATGAAAACTATTTAATAATTTATATTTATATATTAACTTTTATCAAAAACAATTGTTCTAATATAAGATAGAAATTATACGAACTTATGCATAATTCTCAAGAATTAGAAGAACGATAATCCAATAAAGATTTTAATAGCAATAGAAAAAAAACGTTGTAAACTTTATGCTAATAATATATTAAACAAATAGTTCTCAATGATTTAAATATTGTGAATCTAGAAAACACGCTTAATTAATAATAATAATAATATTTATTTGTAAAATTAATTTTATTAAACAACACATTCTAAAATATAATAAAGTACAATTTTTATTTTGAAGTCAATCTATGAAAGTTATACAATTAAACTTTTTATCGTTAAACGATTTATATTCTTCCTAAGTATAGATATTAAAATATTGTTACATCAAACTAAAACCACATTTTTTAAAAATAATTTTGTATTAAATATATACCTAAATTATAATGAAAGTAATATTATTAATTATTTTTATTAACATTTCAGATAATTAAAAATAAGCTGTATACACTAACATATTTAATAATAAATACAATATGTCATTTTTTATTTATAGTACATGTCTTTTATTAGTAATAAATTTACGTGCATATCACTTTTTTGATACAAATGAATATTGTTATATTTTTTCATTTTTTTAACTTATTGCTATTCCGCCTCTCTTGTTTACATTTTTTTCTACATATTTCTTATGCAGGTTCAGGTTCCTATTGCATACGTATTCGTTTTTCATTTTTAAACTTTTTGTTTTTCAAGGAATAATAAGAGAAGTTCTATAGTCGTCATTGGTTTGGACTGTGGCACAACGACAACGCAACTGCGACGTCAACAACGACTACGACGTCAACAACGACTACGACGGAAACTATGACAACGTCGCCGCCGACAATGCTCGTAAAGGATCTTTTCTTTCTCGCTTACTCTTTTTTTTGAATTGTACTCATTCCGAGATAGAGCATACATCGTTTGTTGAACGAATGTACGATTCATTCTATGTATATGTCTACTTGTCGTTTACTATCGAGTAAAAGAAGCTGACGTGAAAACATCCCGGAGGAACTAGCAAATCACGTTTTGTTCGTTTGCAATTTCGTTGCTTTGTTTATTTTTCTTTTTTTTTATAAGACATTGTATTTTTTATATTTTTTATAATATAATATATTATAATTTATCCATCTATTATTCAAAGCATATAGTTGACAAAAGTATAATACTTTGTATTGTAATAAATTACTGTTTTCTACAACCTTTTTCATTCTTCCTGTATATAAGATTCTTTTATTATGCATATTCCTATTTTTAATACAATTACTGAGATTAATTAAAAATTAACTAATACAAAAATTGTTTGATATAAATTTCAACTTTTTTATCATTTTAAAAACAATTAGAATAATAATTGTATAGTTCAAACGATAAGATTATTATACAAAATTCAGTAATAAAAGATTAAATAATAAAATTAAAATATGAAATATAAATAGTAAATTTAATTTGGTTTGCACAGTATAAATAAAACAATTAAAAATTTTTTTTTAATGAAATCAAAAAGTATTTAATATATTATTTTCTAATTTAAATTATTTAATTGAATATTCATTGTTACCGTAACTAACAGCAAAGATGTTAATAATATCGAGAAACTTTAATTATAGTCGAATTAAATTTTACAATAAGAATAAGACCAGCTCTATTGTATGCGCTTCTGTCTAAAAAGTACAAGAATAAGCTCGTGTACTTGATCCGTATCTATATTAATGAATACCGATACTGACATTCATGCACTTTTGTAGAGTTAAATATTGAGCGTACTCACAGGGCAGATTCTATACGCCCTAAATTTATGCATTTATATTTGTTAGCATGTGATAGTAAAGTTTATGAAATATATAATATATAAACATTAGAAAAATATAGGTAAACTTTATATTTCCTTGCGCTCAAACTTTCTTTGCATTCACTAGCTCGTTTGTTCTAGCATACAAGAGATTGGAATCGTTTTTAAGATTCAGTTTGTAAAGATGGATTCTAAATCGGGTCTGGATTCGCGTACAAGAACTTTTAATTGACAAGAATGTTTAGCAGTAATGATCCTTCCGATATGAGAAAAAGACATGATGTAGCTTAAATAAAACAGATTTTTAAGAAAAGCGGAGGATAAAGGTGCAAATATAGAAAATTTGCTAGTGAAGATTAAAGATACAAGCATATGAGAAAAGAGAAGAGATATACAAATGCGAAAAAATGGATGACGAAGAAGAAGACGAGAGGGTAGAAAAATCAAATTATGCTTACACAGTTGAAAATGATATGAAGAATTCCAAAAGATAAAAATTACTTCATATAATCTTTTTTCTGTTTCTCTTCTGTTACTTCTACTTTTTCAAGATAAAGAAAAGTAAATAATGAATCACACTTATTTAAATTATATGTTGTACTTAATGTTATAATGTTTAGTCTCACCATTTATTTGTCCTTTTGATTTATTTAGACGACTTAATTTAGTTTTAAATAAATCACAAGCTATAATAAAAATCATTTTATTTCATTAAATATATAAATGAAACATAAACAAAATTTGTCACTTTTAAAATGATATATATAATATGTTGATATATATAAAGAATAATATTAAATTGCAACCATTTTTTATATTATTTAAAAAAAATTAAATCCTAACTTATACTAATCCATTGACTAATCGATATGAATTTTCTTTTAAATATTCTAAATAATATTTGGATGTAGAAGCTAAAACTGTAAATTAATGTAATAATTTTTTATTACAAAAATATGCAGAAAAATAATACAGAAATTAATGTATATAAAAGACAAAACTATACATATATTAATTAAAGTATATAAGTGACGTACTTTATTTGATTTTATGTTAGTATCTTATTATTAAAATTAAATTTTTAAAAATATACCAATCATTTTCGGCATTTTCGGCTAAGATAAACATATATTGCATATATTGTCTGCATATGTGTTTCTGCCAACACATTACGCACTCAAATCTATTATGTGTGTGTTATTCATGATCAAATATAAAACTTTTTCAAGTTATTTGCCATTACTATCTATATAAAAAAATAATTTGAATTCGAATTGAATTATTAACTAAAAATATTTTTCAGATCACAAAAAAAATTAAATTTATTAAATTTATTAAATAATATTTAATAATATTAAAATATTATTTAATTATTTAATAATATATTTAATAATATTAAAATTTTATTTAATTATTTAATAATATATTTAATAATATTAAAATATTATTTAATTGATCCGAATAGAATTAATTATCCACATTATTTTTAGTAAGATTTATTATTAAAATATTTATATTTAGAAGTGAAAATATTTTGTTGAATAAATTATGTATATTTTTTGTAAAGGAAAATTAGTAAGGTGTTTAATAAATTTAATATTCTTTTTTACAAAATATTAGGAAATTATATATTATATCTTTGATTAATTTATTTAGTTTACACAAAACATAATTAAATAAACATTAATATATGTTGAATATATAAATATATAAACAAACCTATAATCAATATATAAATGAATATTTGTTATATTTATATTTTACATAAATATATATATAATAGAGTATAAATATTAAAATTATTAAAATGTTAAATTAAATTAAAATGTTAAATTAAAAATATTAAAACAATGACTTTTAACATTTATTTGATATTATTAGTTCTCCTTATAATAATTCATATAATAATTGGCAATCAATTAATAAATAAATAAGAAAAACAAATGAAACCGATCTATAATACAAATTGTTAAATATTATCTAATCAATGGATAAATGAAAAAAAATTATGATTTTACTCATAAGTAGCTATCAAGTTATATCAGCATAATTAGATAAAAAAGCGCAGTTTTATTCGTATTTAAGATTTTTAAAAATATATGATCATTTTAATCTCATATCATTCAATATTGACGTGACCATAAATCGACACCTAAGGTATAAATGTTACGAAACAGGCGATTGCCAAAAGTTATACCACTGCAACCAAGAAATAAAGATATATAGTTACCCTTTTAAAACCACGCCACTGGCTCGTATGGGCAAACAAACGTATTTTCAAGCGTCGAACAGAGAAAGTCCAAAAGGAAGAGAGAAAATGTCGAGAGAGTGAGAGAGAGAGAGAGAGAGAGAGAGAGAGAGGGAGACGACGACGACGACGACGACGACGATGACGACGACGACGACACGACGACCGCGACAACGACAACGACACAGAGCGCCGGTGCGCATGGGCGTGGTCATGAACAAATAGATGTCCACAGTAAGGGCAACGTGGTGTCGTGGGGGTATTGTATGACGCTATAGATCACCGGAACTCCGCCTTACGTAGCAGAACGTGGGCGTGGCATAGCGGTCTAGCTCGGGTTGTAGCGCCACCGCAGCGGCTATAGCAATGGTTAATATATACATATAAACTCGAACCAGAGCTGATAATCGACTTTAGATTTTCCGAATGCTCAATGTACATTGGTGCTCTTACAATGATTTTTTATATTGGCCTACTTAGCCAAGCATGAAGGAGTTATTATTTGTCGTGTGTTACCAGTTTACTTTGAACACTATTACTTGTCGTGCAGTCAATAACTATTATACGTTTGAGAAACCGTGACTACAAATTACAAGAAATTATTTAAATATTAATTTTCAATTCAAACATAATAAATAAGAAAACAATAATCGAATATCAACTGTGGAAAGGCACCTTTTGAGGTTAGGTTCTTATTTTGCACGTATTTCATTACACAGGAATATTATATGGTATTGTTTGTACTCATTAATACATATTTAAATAATAAAAAAATGATTTGGTACTCACGTGGTTTGTGAAAAACACTTAGCGATGATTTCAAGATAAAAATACCGAGAAACTCACAGCTGACACCACGCGTGACCGTAGTTCCGACGTCGACCGTCGCTTGTGTGAGGCCGTTGAGCTACAGCTTAACACGGGGCGGGTAATAAAATACGAGAATGGAGGGGGCCTGGATATCCCACCCCATGGATCCTTCAGGTTGTTTTGAGCTCTTGGGCCCCGCCTTCTCCTTAGCCGCTCTCCTGTACCTTTAGGCTTCACCATGTGGTCGTTGGATTTAGTCTTATTTCTTTAAGTTTGGAAACTGAATCTTTTTGCAATAATTTTTTCAATTCAAATATGTTCTTGTATAAACGTTGAATTGCGATACAAAAAAATGTCCTTTTATAAAAAGGAGACAAATTGTAAATTTTTAACAATTTTAACTTGAACTTATAAATTGTATAAGTTTTTGTATTAAACAGAGAATTACTTCATTATTACAGTAAAACCATTCGTACTGTAGGCAGTGAAATAAAATCATAATTGACTGTTGTACTTACAATTTTCTAAAAATACACGTTGATCAATGATAGAAGTAATACAAAAATATATTCCTTTCAACTGCAAATAATATTTTATTGTGATCTACTAAATAATAAACTTATTATTTATGAAAAATTTCCTTTGTTATATTATAAATTGTTATTATAAATTGTTTGTTATTATAATTATATTTGTTATTAGAAATTTAGAAATTTAAATAAGAATCTGAAAGAATAAGAATAATTAATTTAATCTAATAACATTATTTACTTTAACAATTAATATATTAAACTAGTCAGTTGATTATTTGTTAAATATTTAAGAAAAGAAACTAATTAAATGAGTATATAAGTAGTAGAAAAGACATATTTATCATACCTTAACATAATTCTCACATTTAGTTTTCTTCATTATAGTTTTATTTCTAAAATATATGGAAAGAATGACGTATAAGTATGAAGAAAAAATCTCTTCATTCCGAAATTATATGTAATTCATCTGAATGTATATGTAATAATTATATACATAACTTTTTCTTATTATTAAAATATCGTTGCAAAGTCGAGTTGACTACAAAGTCAATGCTTATTGACCTGAATTTTTTTGATATTCACCTTTCGCTTAGCTCTGTCGATAATCTAGAACCATGCACAAAGAAAATGTTGCATGTTGCTTAAAACACATGCTCGCACTCTCATAAGACTTTGTGCATCGCTCATTTATTCTTTGTAATTTCTTCAATTCTCTACTCACTGGTGCACAAAGAGGGAGAAGAATTGCGAGACGAAGCACGAGTAGGGGAAAAGGCGCGCGGTAGTGGCCCTCTGCGTCCTTGCGTCACCTCCTCCCCCTCCGTGGATTTCGCGCCGCCGTCGTGACGGCACTCTCTTGTAGTCAGTCAGCGCTGGACCGCCGTCCGCTTCATTTCAACGTATCTTCGACGTAGCCCCCTCCGTCGGCGTTGTTGTTGGACCATCGAATATCGGGATTTTTCTCCCTCCGAGGTTCCCCCCACTCCTTCCTTTGGGTTGAACACATCTCCTCCGCCCCTCTTGTCCGCAGCCACCTCCTCTTCCCTCCACCAGTACAAAATCAGCTTCTGCAAATATTGTGAGCTTGGAATTTACTCGTCGACAGTCAGTTATTGTTTGTTTTATTAAAAAGCTATACTGAAAAAGAGGATAAATTGTGAGCTTAGGCACGTGAAGAAAATTGTGAAGGGAGGAAGCACAACCGGAAGTTTTTAGATCGACAGGAGCGGCAAGTGCGCGGAACCTAATTCGTATATATATATATATATATATATATATATATATATATATACATAATTGGTTAGGGCAATATTATGATTTTATAATTCTTGTTTGTATTTTTAGAGTCTGGTAATTAATTAAGTTCTATTGTCGAGGACGAAGGATTTTATAAATGCCATTTTACTAGTGCGTGAGAAAACAAACGTTTTCTGGAAAGTGCATTGATTATATGAGGTGTAAAGTTCAATGATTCTTGAACAACCGATATTCTGCCTGTGATATATTCAAAATTCGATTCGTTAAGGATTCAAGAATAAAATTAAGAAATTATAGTCTTTTAATGAGGAATTCAACAAAAGTGACGATCCACTACACAGTGCTTAAGATTATTATCCACCGATTTTAGAGTTTCGATCGACAAATAAGTCATGTGATTTAAATGATATAAAAAATATATATATACGCCTAATAATATATATACGATTTTATAATCAGATTAAAATTGTAGTCAATATTAATAGTGTTGAAATACAGTGCGAAAGGATTAGTGCTAAATATAGGGAGAAAAGAAAAGAAATTTTGTGAGATGTTAAAAACAGAATAACGTCGTAATCAACACTAGGTAGTGATCGTTAGTGGGCATCTTTGCTGACATTTTTTAGGTTACAGAATATTTTAGTAGGAACAGAAATTTCCGGATAAGCTGTCACTGCGGGCAGAGCATTAGAAGATCTCGACACCCCCGAGATAGGAAAAATCGCTTACAAAACGCAGATGACCCGTAGGAAACAGCACGCACCGCAACGCATGAAATGTAAGTTTATTTAATAAATCTAACTGCTAACGTAAACTGTTTAGTTCAATAAGTCTGAAATTACCTTTTTTATAGTGTGAATGCGATGTTCCGTTTGTACGCAAATTGAATAGTACAAAATCTTTAGAAAGGCCGACAGATATCTAATGATGTAAATATAATTTTTTTTTATCGAGTATAAAACTAAATATGGAGGAACATCAATTTCAAAAATATCCTCAAAAGAATTGAAATTTCATAATTTATAATAATTTTTCTGATTATAATAGATTTATAAAATTTGATTATAATTTTAAACAATAAAATATTTTCAGAAATTATTTCAGAATTTTTATAAAATTATATTTTTCTCTTAATAAAACAGAGTCTAACTTTCTTATTATAATAATGTATGAATAAATAAATATCTCCGTGTACATATAGTTTTTTATTTCAATACTAAATATTTTAATTTAATTGATGCCTATCTCAATTATAAAAACTTTTTTTTAATTTAGTGATTATTAAATACTTGCAAATAGTAAAAAAACTATTTTATTATTTAAAATGTGTATAAAAAATTATCGACAAAATTAACACAGTAAAAAATAAAATATGTTAGAAAATTTAAAAATTTAATAAATACATAAAGTAATATATAAATATAAGTTTAAAATTTACAAAATTCTTACAAATTATACAGTTAAAAATAAATTTGCAAGACATACTAAATATAAATAGGTTCCTTTATTATATATATATTCTTATATATATATTCTTTTATTCTTAAATATAGGTCCCCAGAGCAGGGTTCCAGAATAAAATAAATGTTCTCATGAATTTGATACTAATTAATTTAGTTAATTATTTAATGTAGAAAGATGCGAAATTATATAGTATTGTAATAAATAATGTATTTATAAAATGCCTATTGCTATAATACTACTATGACATATTGCTACAACTGCGCCTGCTGATTTTCCCACGTGGAAAACGATAGTAGTAGCGTCGGAATGTAAACAAACTCTACACCTCTCATTTTTCTTTAATAATGCCCTAGAGTATTATCTGGCTTTCCTTAGTCTATTGCTTTACATAAGACCTGAAGTTTTTTCGTTGAAATACAGTGATGATTGAGTAGTGAGGTAATGCTAAAAAACCATTTACCATTTATTTACGTACTGATCTTCAACAAATTTAAGCAGCGACGCTAATATTAAATCATCACATTGTCAACTCAAACAAATTTTCTGAATAATTTTTTCTTTTCCTTTATCCTTTTATCTATGATTTCAGACGTTCTATTATCTTTTAATTAAATTTCACATCATTTTCTTCGTTACTCACTCGTGTATTACATTTTATGAAAGTGAATTCGTTTATCGATTAGAAATTATTACTCTAACTTATTTCAAAAATAATATTTTTCTATATAATAAACTTTGTAAAACAATTAAATTTTAAATAATATTCTATTTTCATAAATTAATTTTTTAAAAAATTTTTTTTATATTATTATTTAAATCAATAATTTTCATTTCTAAATAATAATAGACATTTATTTAAATACATGACACATTATACTCAATTAGAATACTAATTGCTAATGAATTTGTAATAAAATAGTTAAAAATTATTAAAAAAATCTTTTATGTATAGATATTAGTATTCAAAACTAACTTCATAATAACATCCTTTCAAAATAATTATCGAAAGTAATTGTCAAAACTTAAATAAAAATTTAGTAGCTCTACTATTTTGTGAAAATGTAAGACTCATTTTTTAATAGAGCAAAAATTATTTTGTTTTTTATTGTTCTATTTTATTATCTATTTGTGTATTTTACATACATAGTATTTCAATAGATAAAAAAGGCATTAAAAATATTAATATAATATATACTTATACATCAAGAAAATAGTAACATATTATTTATAAAAAAATTATCGTTATGCGTTTCAAAAAGTTTTATATTCATATATTAAATTATTATATACAATTGATTTATTTATTGATGAAATTGATGTATTATAAAAATATCTTATATTAAAGTAAATATCACCTTTCTTCAATTCTAAAATTAAATACAAATAGTAATTTAAAAAATGTGTTATAATGGTTACCTTTAAACTTTCAGTTAACTTAAATATATTATTAAACTTTATTCGTATAAATTATATTACATTATTTTAACATAGTATTTTATTAAAATATACTTATGTTTGTCATTAAAACAGAACAAATGAAAATGATTTTGAATTAGTAATAGATTTTATAACTTATTATTTTATTTCTATATAAATATATATATATATATATATATATATATAATAGAGAGAGAGAGAGAGAGAGTCGTATATATAAACTTTCTTTCTTTATTTTGCTTGAAAATTATATTGCAGATCAATGCAGCATGAGCGCGCCGAGCTATCTGAAGGTTTTACAAGAAGTAACATTGTCACGTTGAGTTGCAGTATTAGCATATTAACGGCGTTAATGCCATTAAAATTGATTTCAAAGAAGTCAACGAACTGCAGTTTTACAAAATTAATAAGGATTAAAGTATGTTTGCGATGATTGAATTTTATGTATGTACGTACATATTCAAAAAACATGCGAATGTCTTAAACAGGCAGAATCTCTTGTTTCTATAACTGGATGATGATCAGTTTGAGATTATTTGGAATTCCCTTACATTTTTCTTTTTTGTATTTGCTACACGTTTGATTTTAACTTTA